GCATCATATACCGTGTCCCATAAGCTTTCCATATGGCATAATAGTAATGCTGCCTCAAAAGTTGTAAATTGTCCTATCGAGAAAAACTAGGTTTGATCCTGGAAACTTCCCATGTCATTTTGGTTCAACATCTTGTAGCAGGATTCTCGAAGTGATTTAATATGATATATCATCATCATTTGTCATCACTACCTCTGCATCCTGTTTATGATTCTCATTCAATGCTGCATTTGGACCTCCACTAAGATGTAGTTCGGGAGAATTCTTCCACTGAAGAGGTGGACGGGCAAACATTCCAGGCTTTGTTTCATTATAAAATGCATATAAAGCATCAATATAATCAGTCTTATAGATTCCAGGACTTCGTGCTTGAGCAAATATTTCAATTGCCTGACTGACAGACATCAATGGTTGAAAACGCATTAGATAGTGAACAATCATAAACCCAGTTCGCTTATGCCCATATGTTCAATGAACAAGAACATAATTCTTCGAGTCTTTCCTCTTACGAGAAAAGAATTTCGATACCTCGTGCACTAAACTATTTACAGAGGAGTTATCAGGCACAGCATCCCGCCCCTTGCATCTGATATTAAATGCCCAATCCCCTTTTGTTTCAGGTCTGAAGCTGAATAGTAACGACAAGTATTTGTCAAATCAATTACCAAACTGAGCTTTCCGCCCGAATTTTCCGCCCACTGAATCACTTGTTTAAAAGACCTTGGAAGGAATAATGCAGTCTAAAAATTCTTGACCAACTGAAGGGCAATCCAACCAACCAGGAAGAATCCCATTATTGCCATAAATTCTGGGGTAATTCCCACTTTGATAAAACTGGTCAGTATAGGCACTAGCTTGTGATCTTCTGATTCTTGTTTTTTCAGTCTCTTTGGACTTTCTTCATCACCTGAATGATTTAAGTCCATACTACTACTCTCTGACGTTTCTACCAGAACCAAATATATACTTTAATTCCAGGCTAGAGTAAATTGAAAGTTTCGGATCCAACCAAAAGAAAAAAATAAAAAAAGAAACAACGCAACTAAAATTGTTTGTAACCTAGGAAATTAGTCAGCAAAAATCAATCCCATACCGAAAGAGAAAGAAAACAAGTTGTAAAAGATAATAAAGTCAAGAGATATGCTTTGACATCAAGTGTTTATATATTGATCATCTTATGATTAGGGAACTTGCGATTGCCCAGTAGGTGTTCTGAAGACTGCTGGTGCCTGTTGATAAAGCCTTTTTTCCCCAAGCCAGAATGAAAGTGGTAAGCCAAAGGCTGACCATCAAGTCAGCCCACCTAACAACAGGCCTGGCTGCGCCCGAGTAAGCAAAAGAAGAATCGGAGAGTATTATATATATCCTATACCTTAAGAAATTCAAAACCATTTATATTTTTAAACTTCTTATGCTATTAATTTATGTGTTTTTAATATGTTCTTTTCATGTAGTTTCACACTATTAGCTCAATATCATTCGTCACTCAAAAATTAATTTGAAGATAAAAAGGAATGCATTTTGAATTAAAAACTCAAGTTTATGATAATGTTATTAACCATTTGCTTAGATTAAAAAAATCGATTGATGAGATGCTAAAAGGAGTTTTTATCTTCTTGATTTAATAATTAAAAAAATTATAAAAAAACGTTTAAAATGAGAATTCAAATCTCATTATTCTCATCTCTTTTCTCTTAAAAATAGTAATAATAATAATGAAAAGGAGATCTTAAAAGTTAGAATCTTTTCAAATTCAAAACTCAATATTCCACTATATATGAATTCAATCTAATTTTATTTTATATTAATATTATGTTTGATACATAAAATTATAATAGGATTGAATAAAATAATATTATGAATAAAATTAGATTAAATAATATCATCCTATCATATATTAATGTGTGTAAGGATTAAAATAGAATAATTTATTTATTGGTTAAAATTATTTTTTTAAAAATTTATACAATTTAGATTATTGATATAATTTTTAAGAGTATAATAAAACTTGTAAGTTTAATATTATAGATTCAAAATAATCTCTTATTTTTCCAAAAGATAAGATTATCCTATGGTAAAGGATATCTAATCTTTTTAATAATACAATCCTTTTATTTAAATATATAACAAACATATGATAGTATAATTAATATCCTATCTTTTAACTAATCTTATGTGTCAAGCATAGCCTAAATTTATTAAATTATAATTTGTCTATTTAACTAATTGATTTCTTATATGTAATACTTGAATATGATTTTAATTTTTTTATGTTAATAACTTCAACAAAATAAATAAATAAATGTTACTACTAATAATAACTAAATAAATAAACTAGACTAAATATTCTTTTTTAAAATTTTAACACATTCCAAAAAATGCTAAGTATGTGTTAATTTGTAACAATTAGTAGAAAGAATTACGGTGGTTAAAATTTTTTTGGGATAATATCTCATTTGATCTCTAAACTATTATATTTTGTTGGATTTGATACTTAAATAAAAAAAAAAATTTAATCAAATACCTAAACTATATTTTTATGTGTTAATTTACTCCAATCATTAATACCGTTAATCTTAAATGCTGATGTGGTACAAACATCCAATAAAATATTGACACGTGTAAGAAAAAGTTCAATCAGTATCACATCATTAATGCTATATTAGTATTAAAAGAAAATTTTCAAAAAATCTAAAAAAGTTAAACTATATTTATGTGTGTTAATTTACTATAACCTTTAGCACAATTAACCCTAAATGTTGATGTGATATAAATATTTATTAAAATATTGACATGTGTTAAAAAAATCTGATTAGCATCACATTATTAATGTCGTGTCAGTATTAAAAGAAAGTTTTCAAAAAAAAATCTAAAAAAAAAAAAAATTTTGATAAAATACAACTTTTTTTTAAAATTCATTTAAAATGTTTTCTTTTAAAAAAACTTTAAACCTTAATTCCCAATAACATTGGCCATTCCTAAACCCAGAAACTGTTGGCTCGTCATTGTGCCAATCTTCAATCGTCAGTACCGATATAAACCCAGATTTCACCTACCTATTCTTTTCGACCTCTTTTTTCACGTTCGACCTTAGTTTTTTTTTTTTTTCAAAAAACAACCCCTAAAAGTCTATATCTGACCTTACAGATTTGGTCAAAATTTTTTATCATCGGTTTTCACTTCTTCGATGGCTCCTATATTTTATTATGTTTTTTTTTTTCCTCGAAGCCCTCATACTCTCCAAAGATCTAGTCTAAAAACCATTCTAAACATCCAAACCTAAATCTTAATTTCAGTGTTAATTTTTTTTTGTTCAACTGCTGTTTAATGTTCTCTTTTTAAGGATGTGATTTTTTTATATATTTTTTTTACACGTCTAGATGGAGTGTTGATATTAGAGGTAGTATTTGTTAATGTTTTGTTTTAGCTATGAACGAGACACAATTTGGATGGTTGATGATTGTCTGAGTTGTATGTGATGGTGATGAGTTTAGGTTTCGATTTTTTGGTTGTTTGGTTGATTCAGTTGTTGAGATGGGATCTTGACAAGGGTGGTTTTTTATGGGTGAAGTAGGGTTGCGATTACGGGTGTAATCGAGTCGAGTCGAGTTGAATAGTGAGAAGTTCGAGCTCGACTCACAATTCGAGGTTCGATACTCGATTCGAGTTCGATTGAATTTTATTTTTTAAGCTCAAACTCGATTTGTGATCGAATTCGAGTTACTTGAGCTCGTTCGATTAAGCTCGATTAATATGTAAAAATAAGCTCGATTCATATACTCGATAAGAGTTCGATTATTCATGCTCGAACTCGAACTCGGACTCGAACTCGACTCGAACTCAGACTCTAAATATTTTATTAATTAAAATAATTTAAATATATTTAAATATAAAAACTCGATTAAGCTCGCGAGCTACTCGAGTCGGATATAAGAATACTCAAATTCTGATCGATCGATAAGTCGAGCTACTCGAGTTCGAACTCGACTCGATAATAATCGAACCGAATTCGAATTTTTTTTGAATCGAATCCGAATAGTTTACGAGTACTAATATATCATTTATACCTCTAATTGCGATGATGATGGTAATGATCGATTAGTTCATTTGTCATTGATTTCGTAAAGGTACCAGTAATAGCTTCAATTTTACAAGTTTATAGCTTTGAATTCACAAGTTTCAATTTTGTTAAAATTTTCGAGAGTTCTTCCAATTTGGGAATGGCATGGTTATTAAATTTGGAGTGTAAAATTTAAAGGAGAATTAATTTTTTTTATTGATTCATTTTTTTTTTAAATATATGATTATATAAGCATGATTTGCAAGTAATAACTTAAGTTCACATGTCATTTTGTACTCGGATGATGGTTTTTTATTAGTTAAAATGGTCAAGTCAATAACTTTTTTAATGAAATTAACTTTTAAACTAAATTAATATATGATTTAAGAGTTTACATATCTATTTAGTAATTTTTTTAATTTAAATACCAAATCTAATAAATTACAATGGTTCAAGGATTACATAAAATATTATCCCAATTATCGTAATTGATTATATATAACTTATTAAAGACTTAATTGTTTATGATAAAAATATAAAAATTAATATGATAATTTTAATGAAGTACAAAAAATCAGTTTATTTTTGGTTAGACAAAATAGAGTTATTCGTTTTCAAATATATATATATATATATAACAAAGGATTCTATCATTCCAGAACATTTTATTACGGTTTTACTTCATTTTTTAATTATTGAATTATATTATTTGAAGCTTCAACATTTTAAACTGATTTTATTTTGATGATTTTATTATTTTTCTATTTAATCATTAAAAAAAAAACAGTCCAGTACCAATGACATTTTTTTTCATAATTAATATTCATGTGGTGTATCACATAAGTTGCAAGATAAATCCACCACCACTCAACTCTGCCACGTACGAATTTTACGATCAACCTACGGCCCTCACAAAGTCAATGTGGTGGACTATGATAGTTCCCGCTTTACTCGATTACCGACGCCCCAAAAGGGCGCCTAGGGCGGAAATCCGCGAACAACATCGCATCGCATCGATTGAAGAAAGAAACAAAAACGTGTGCAATTTTCAGTCTGTCTCTCTTATCTAATTTTTCCTCCTCTCACAGCCTGTAATTTTTTTTGCACGGCTCCTTCTCGTGTCTTTACATAAAAAAGATTCCTTTTATTTCCATATTACATAAAAAATTACAAATCAAATTAAAATGAAATGAAAAAAGCCCGACGCCACCATCTCAGAGCTGCCTCTGCGAATCACAATCCGGTTCGAATTCGATTGCTTTCCATTTGATGCTTGCTGTCAGGAGATTTTCTTTTTTTCTTTTTTTGGGGTGGATTTAGAGCTCAATTTATTTTTCATTTAAGGTATGAAGTCAACCCTACCTCTATTTCCCCTCTTTTATTGACATTTCAGTAAGAATTAATTGCTGTGATAAAATTTTTTATACTGTTTTTTTCTTTAATTTATAATATCAATTGAATTTATTCCATAATTTTGACTGATATAAATATACTTGAATGGATTGGTATTTTTTAAAAATAGATGGAAATGAGTATTCTTTGATTTAAGCTTATGATTTATGGTGAGGGTTTTTTCATGCTATTACCAGCTTGTAATGAAATTTTATTAGCATGAGGCATGGCATAAGCAATAAGCTGAGCCGTTTTTGGTCAAATTTCAGCGACGATGAAGGGAATTAGAGACTGGGTTTTCACTCAGGTACTATCCAACCCGTTGGCCTCGTCTAGACCACTGTCCGGCAGTGGTGGCTTCTTTCCCCGGGCTCCTTCGTCTCAGGAGTTAGAATCTGGTGATCAAGGTATCAGCTTCTCCCCTTTTTTGCATATGTTTAGTACACTACTTTTGGCCCTCTTAGTCCAAATGACCTATTAAGTTCACCGAATTCCATGGAGTAAAATTTGGGCAAGTGGATGTAATCTGTAGATAAAGTTGTGATGTCATTGGATAGCTCTATAATTCATCCTTTGGAAATGTAAAAGTTTTATTTGTCTTTCAGATAAGCTAGTTTCAAGGGATATTCTAAACTACATTGCTAAATGCTTGACCTTAGGACTTGGCAGAGTGATCTTACATAGACAGAAATTTGCTTACTGGTAGCTGTTTTATTGACATTAACCAGTTTGCTGATACACAAAAGTATTAAATTGAACGAAGAAGAAGTGTATTGAAACAAATGAAACAACGAGAAAAATAAGGTTGCTTATCTTCACTGAAATTGGCAAACTGCAAAAAAGGGACATAAACAAAAATGTGATATGATACTCTGTGGAGCTGCCTATTTCACAGATTACTAGGCAGATTAATATTTAGAAGTTTCTCTACTTAGAATCAATTCTTTATTTATAATGCTTTGGGTAATCTTTTGACGTGGAAATTGACAATACCTCTATGACTATAGGTGTACCCTGGGTCTCTCATTAAGTTCATCTTATAACCTTTTATGATTCTAAAGAAGTGGATTGTTATGGAATAAAATATATTCTGGGTAGATTATGTAAATTCTGTAACCAACAGGGCATATTGTCTTCTATCTCATTAGGTTCATCTCACAGTTCCGGTTCAGTAGCATTGTCGGTGCCCCCTGATACATCATACTCTTCTGGTAATATTCATGATAATGACCTTTATACGTCGAAGCAGCAAATCCTAGTTGAAGATTCTAATCTGTCACAAAATAGTACTAATAGAAAAAAGATGGATCCACTGGCAAAGATTGAGGATCTCCAGATTAAGCTCTTGCGTCTTCTCCAACGGTTGGGGCAATCACAAGACAACCTTCTGGTGGCAAAAGTTTTATATAGGATGCATCTAGCAACTTTGATACGAGCAGGGGAATCAGATTTAAAAAGAGTGAACTTAAGAAACGAGAGAGCCAAAACAATAGCAAGAGAACAGGAGGCATCTGGGGTGCCAGAATTAGATTTCTCTATTAAAATACTTGTCCTTGGCAAAACAGGCGTTGGCAAGAGTGCAACCATAAATTCTATCTTTGATGAACCTAAAACTAAGACCAATGCATTTCAGCCTGCCACTGATTGCATTCAAGAGGTCATGGGAACTGTTAATGGGATTAAAGTAACATTCATTGATACCCCTGGTTTCTTGCCTTCATCTACAAGCAATGTGAGAAGAAATAGGAAGATTATGCTGTCTGTGAAGAGGTTCATTAGAAGATCTCCTCCTGATGTTGTTTTATATTTTGAAAGGCTTGACCTCATCAACATGGGTTATAGTGATTTCCCCCTTTTGAAGCTTATGACTGAAGTTTTTGGTAGTGCCATTTGGTTTAACACCATCCTTGTCATGACACATTCTTCTCCTACTCTTCCAGAAGGACCCAATGGGTATCCTGTCAGTTATGAATCTTATGTTAACCATTGCACTGATTTGGTGCAGCAATATATACACCAGACAGTATCTGACTCGAGGCTTGAAAACCCTGTACTTTTAGTAGAGAATGACCCTCGGTGCAAAAGAAATTTCATGGGGGAAAATATACTTCCAAATGGACAGGTTTGGAAATCTCAATTCTTGTTATTATGCATTTGTACAAAGGTTCTTGGTGATGCCAACACCCTCTTGGAATTTCAAAACAGCATTGAGCTAGGACCATTAAGTAACAATCGATTGCCTTCCCTGCCTCATCTTCTCTCATCTTTTCTACATCATCGGTCAGTATCAAATCCAGCTGAACCAGAAAATGAAATTGATGAGGTTCTGGTCTCGGATGCAGAAGAAGAGGAGTATGATCAATTGCCTTCAATTCGAATCCTGACAAAGTCTCAATTTAAAAAATTGACTAAACCCCAGAAAAAAGCCTATCTTGATGAACTGGAATACAGAGAGACTCTTTATTTGAAGAAACAGTTGAAGGAAGAGTGCCTGAGACGGAAGGAAAGCAAACTCTCCAAAGAGAAAAGCTTTGAAGGTGGTGATGATGATGATGACAAGGTATCTCCAGAAGCTGTACCATTGCCAGATATGGCAGTCCCTCCAAGTTTTGACTCAGATTGCCCAGTACATAGATTTCGCTGCCTTGTTACAAATGACCAATGGCTTGTGAGACCTGTTCTTGATCCCCATGGATGGGATCATGATGTTGGATTTGATGGAATAAACTTGGAAACAGTTTTGGAAGTGAAAAAGAATGTTTTTGCTTCAATTACAGGACAAATGAATAAGGACAAGCGTGATTTCAGTATTCAATCTGAATGTGCGGCAGCATATGTAGATCCTCTGGGGCCTACTTATTCTGTAGGACTTGATCTTCAGTCTACTGGTAAAGATCTTATGTATAATTTCCATAGCAATGCAAAGCTAAGGAGCCTCGAGCACAACGTCATGGATTGTGGAGTCTCTCTGACATCATTTGGAAACAAATATTATGTTGGTGCTAAGCTTGAGGATACCATATTGTTAGGGAAGAGAATGAAGTTTGTTACGAATGCTGGGCGAATGGAGGGTTCTGGACAAGTGGCATATGGTGGGAGTTTTGAAGCTACTTTTAGAGGGAGGGACTACCCTGTGAGAAATGATAGCGTTAGCCTGACTATGACAGCTCTTTCCTTCAATAAAGAGACAGTACTTGGTGGTGGTTTCCAGTCCGAGTTCAGGCCAATACGAGGCATGAAGCTGTCTGTTAATGGCAATGTAAATAGCCAGAAAATGGGGCAAGTTTGTGTGAAGATGAGTAGCTCTGAGCATGTGGAGATTGCACTGGTCGCTGTCTTTTCAATATTTAAGGCCCTTTTGCGTAGAAGGCCCACTGAAAATAGAGACATTGGAGCATTGGAGGGAAAGCGTAGTCAAGAAAGCAGACTATATATGGAATAGTCTTTTCATCCAAACAGATGATATATTATGCAGGATTTTTCAGGTCATTCTAGATATCGTCTCAGATTGTTGGATGCCTTAATTCAGGTATGTAGGAGGAAAGACTCAAGTATTGGATGTTTGTCCCCATGGTAACGCCACTATCCTGAGGAATCGATTGCATTTGAGTACCCAGTAGAGGTGCCGACCGTGGCTGTTGACGCTATTGTCAATCAAGCCAATGATCGTACAGGAATTCATGGGAAATGAGTTTTTTTGTGATTCATGGAATAAAGCTAAATAGTTGTAAAAGGTTGACCAAACTTCTCTTTTTTTTTTTTTTCTTTTCATTTTGGTCTAACGAGTTAAATGTTGTGGAGCTACATTTTGTTGTGTTAAATTGCGATATATAAATTTTCGAAGTGATATCTTTTACTAGGTGAACCTTTTCATGTTTGATTTACTTATTAAAATGTGATCCGTCCCATTACTACTAAGCTGTGTTCTTCCTGAATTTGGAGGGGACGTTAGATTCACTTTACCTGAACATGCAATGGGAAAGAGTGGAAGCCAGTCAGAGAACAAAGAACAAACAGGAGACAACTGTTCATTAACTGTAATAAATGGACCATAAGCTTCTTCTGGAAACAACTTCAATTTGCCCACTCCACACCACCGTCCACGTATATCAACATTCCATTGACTCAAAAAACCGGGGCGCTTCTCCAAATTGTCCCCTGTTTATCAAGGTGGCGAGTTAAAAAGGAGGACGTCCTGATCTTATCCATGGCATTCTACTCCACGTCCTCTTAAAAATCAAATCATGGTGTCACCTTACTTCCTTTTAGGCCCTAGTTGACGTTGGCAATTCGGCCATTTTGGCATTGTTTTGACTCTTTTTGGTTTGTGCTGTTGTGCACGTGGAATCTGATCCATGGAAAAGAACTTGAATGAGTTTCAGACCAAATTGACATGGTAGCAGCAATTAAGGGTGATCATTCTTTAAAAATTAAATTATGTTGTTTTATTTTTATTAATTAAATTAATTTTTTCAATTTTAAAAATTAACCATCAAAATTAATATTAATTTTTTGATTAATTGAATAATTAAATATATTATATCAAAATTATATTTTACATTTTAAAATTTTTATATTTAAAAAAAATTAAATAAAATTATTCACTAAAAAATATTATAATATTAAATTATTAAATTAAAAACTCTATAAACTTATAAACTGAAATGGTTCTTTTTTTTAAAATTTTATATATGAATTTTATTATATATCAATTAAAATTTTTATTGATTTAATTAATTTAATTTTTGAATCAAATTAATTTAAAATTAATTTTAAAAAAATTATTTTCAATAATCAATCAAAAATAATTTTATAATTAATTGAATTAAATGAATTTAATCAACAAATGCAATTGAAACCAAATTTTGAACATCCCTAACAGTAATCAGTTGCCAAGATTTTTCAACTTAATCTAAAAAGTTCTAGAAATTAACAAATTTTCCTTTTTCTTTCTTCTAGTTGAATAACAAGTTGCAGAACGACCGAAATGGGTTAAATCTGCAGCTCAGTGTGGGCATCTTTCCAAGAAATTTTATGCACCCACCACATGATCAATAAATTCAGGGTCCCATGAATGACAGACAAATTTCGTCATTTTACCAAATACTGATATCAATCTTGAACTTTCAGGAAATTCGAGGCTTTAATAAGAATGAACCAACCCCAATTTAATAGTTGTGTTGAAATTCGACTGTTCCTCATAGTTTCTACTTGAAGCACCCGAGGTCAAGGAGAAATGGTGATTCGATAGAGATATGCACCATCGAAGTGAACTTCACTGTGAATCCATCTTATAAAAGATTTATCTCTTCCCAACATTAAAAACAGCAGTGACGTGATCTCCAAAACTTACTGTCTTCCTAAAGAATCCGAACCACCTTGTTCAAACAAATCTCAAAGAATTGGAAATGTTTACCTTTATTGTGGAAGATTGAAAGGAGGAATCGACAGCTTGTAGTGATATAGGCACAGATGTACAGGAAACGCAAGTGCTTAGGGCATCAGATTCAGCTACAGTATAACTATTACACAAGGAGTCTGACTAAAATATGACTTATTCGCAGCATAAACTCAGAACGCTTCTTTATTGCAGATTTCGAGATTTAAGTTCAAGATTAAACGAATATCACTTTTTAAAAATAATTAGATGAATTAATTAAATTAAATCTGAATTTTATTATAAATTTTTTAAGCAACTTGAGTATAACAAAAGGTTCATTTTTTTGTTTTTTTGTTTTTAATTCATACTAAAAAGTATTATACCAAGCAATGATTCTTGCAAAACCCCTTTGGAGGCAGCAACACCAAATTTTTATATGAAAAAGTACAAAGTGGTAACTTAATAACAAGTTATAAAACCACTCTGTGATTGAAATTTGAGAAATGCTGCAGAAAGTAATGAAGCTTTTACCTCAAAAAGCCTCTTATCAGATGATGTGATAATGGGCAAATTCATTATGGCCACAGCTCACCCACATTTAATTTCCTAACGTGATGGCCATCCACACTCCATAATTCTGGTTCAAATGATTGCAGTTTCAAATTTGTACACACCAAAAAGAAAATAAAAAAGAATATGCTTCCCAAATCCCAGTTTGACACAAATTTTCTTTCTCAGAGCAAACCTAGCCAAATGATGGAAGAAAAAAAAAAGACAAACAGGACATAGAATGAAGAATTTAATTTCTATAAACAGTTAATTATACAATTTTCTATATACCAAACCAAAAAATTCACTATCAATCACTGAAAAAAAACCAAATAATTACTTTTGTTTTTTCAACCCTGAATTCATGTTACAAAACATGATCAAGGTGAAGACCCCCACAAAACCTCAGCAATAATAGTAGCAGCCTCGGCATCATCAACAGATGCTTCCCTAACTTTCTCCAAAGTCTCTTGCTTAAAAGCTCTTTTCTCTCTTTGTCTCAACCCTTCCCCAACCTCCAATTGCGCAGCAAATCTTTCCACACATCTTGCAAATGGATGATTCTCTAAAAACTTATTTTCTCTCTTCTCTCTTGTCCTCTCACTCTCCTTTTTCTCATCACCAAGCTTTCCCATCTCAATCAAATCCCCACCAAGTTTTGACCTTTGCAACTCCACGAGTTTCTGAATCAACCCTCCTTTAAGCATTTCTTCTACAGCTTCCTTGCGTCCGAAGTAACCAATTTCAAGAATGCAATCCAAAGCCAAAACTTTCATGTCCAAATTCTTGGATTCCAATAAAATTAAAATCTTGGAAATTTCACCATTGCAGACTATCTCATCAACGAACGGGGATTTAATAAACTTAATTAAATCACACAAAACTTTCACACAATGGGTTGATCTCATGTCCAAAAGAGCGTGAATTGTACTTCCCATACTCACTTGCCCGACAAAAACATCCTTGTTGAATCGAATCAAAGCGGCTATACAAAACGCTGCATTTTTCCTTATCCGTTTTGAACAATTCGGTTCGCAAAGGACCGATTGTAAAACCGAAAAAGCTTTGGAATTTAGGACTAAATTCTGTAACTCGCGATTAAACCCTTGTGAGACTCGGTCTTCGAACTGAGTAAGTACGCGAACCAACTCATCTTCGTTCTTCCATGACTCTTTTAAACCCTTTATCAAGCTCTCGATGCTCTCACGGTCGATCCAGGCTTGAATCTCGGACTCAATCGAACTGGCGACTCGGGATATGGAGTAAGTCGAGACTCGGCGAGTCAAGAAGCTCCTGAGGCCAAAACCACAAGTACGTTCAAGGGTTTCGACGAGAGTTCTGAGGTCAGCGAGGTATTGGGAAAGACTAGAAAGATGCGGGTCTTTGGAGAGGATTGAATCCGACTCGCTTTCCAGCTCGAGGAGAACTTTAATAGCGGATGAGTTGGAATCAGACGAGTGGTGAATTGGATGAACTTGTAGCTCGTGGGAAGCTTGTTTTAGAGCTTCGAGAACCTTTAGAACTCCTGCGTTATCTTCGTTGCATGATGGGTCTTCCATTGCTGCTCCAGAAACGGATGGTTCTTTTTAACTTATATATAAACAAAGAAAAAGAAAGACTGTTTTCCTAGGGGGAATGGTTCGTTGGAAGCAGCAGAGATAGCTCTGAGAAACGAGCTCAAACGACCAGCGGCTTGTTGGGAAAATATGGCAACCATTTTTTAAAAGATTTCCATATAAAGCATGAATCCTTTTTATTATTACTTTTTTGTATGATATTTTAGACTTTTTAGTCAAAATCCGTCGAGTATTTAGAATTTTGTTTAACATTTGTTAGGAGGTACCTACTTCAATTAATAATGCTTTATCTTTCCTTTCTTTGTTATTTTTTAATGCTTCTTTGATGTACATGTTTTTGACTTGGAGTTCTTTCACCCAATTTCTTCAAGGGAAAATGTTCCCCGTACGTAACATTAAGTAATTTCTCTCTTCATTTTTTTTTTATTTTGACTTTAAAAAAAATCTAACTTGATTATTTTAACATAAAATATTTGTATTTATCATTAATTCAAATAGTCTGTTAACAAGTATGTTTTACTTTTTATTTTGTAATTTTATTATATTAATAAATTTTTTATATTTTTTTATCAAGCAAAACTTTCACACTCTCAAATCCAATTTAATAGATTTTGTCACAATTTAAAAATATTAAAATATAAAAAACATATTTTTATATTAATATATTTAATATATAAATTTAAATTTTTTTAATAAAAAAATAAAACTCAAGCATACCTAAAATCCATGTCTAAAGCGCAGCTCAAGTGAGGCTTGACCCACGTAGACAAATCTAATTTATTGATAAATTTTATAAATTTTTTTAATTCACTGTAATATTTTCAAAATTTTTTTGCTCACTTTAAATAAATATTGCTAATATATGGGTGTGAATATTAATTTTTTTATAAATGAGATTGTAATTTAAAATAAAAAAAATATAAATACTAAAATTTAATTTTAAATCTATTTTTTTTAAAAATTTAATTTATTAAATATATATTTTTCGAAATAATTAATGAACTAATTAAATTAAATCTGAATTTAAAATATTGATTTTATAGGCTACTTTAAAATAATTAATTATAACATTATTACAATTTACAATAGCTAAACATTACGAGTGGATTTGATTTTTTCAAATTCGAGTTTTTTTTTTTTTTTTTAGTTAATTTTTTTAACAGGTAAAAACACTAACGACATCTATAAAAAGTGATGCCAAGAGTTCTACAGTCTCAACCAAAACCAAAACCGACAATGAAACAATCAATCGTTATCTGGCACCAACCGCCAAATTTTCCAATCGAATATCGCCACGTGTACACTCGTAGCCAATCAGAACAACATTCCTTAAGACCACGCCAACTATGATGAGTACGACAAACGATCGTCTCTAACGTACGCCAACTCAGCCCATACTGCCCCCATTACCCTCCTCCTCCCCCGTCAGCCACAGCCCATTATAAAGCTGATGGCAACAAATTTCCAATCATTGCCTTTCAAAGTTAAAGTTTCATCTTCAGCTGATTTTCTAAAGGTACTTTATTTTCTTTTGTTTTCTTTTCTTTTTTTTTCTTTTTTTTTAATCAAATGTTGATTCTTCAACTCTTTCTTGTTCTACTTTCTAATCTTTACGCTTTTTGTTATTGGTGATCTTTTCTGTTCTTGAGAAGAATATTGGGTTTTTTGTTGCATTAATGTGATTTCAGGTTAATGATATCCAGATAGTTTCCAACATTTATTAATGGAGTTTTTTTTTTTCATTTATCAATGGTATAATGAATATTAGTTTTCAGTAATTATCTGTTTGTGTATGTTGGGATGGTTTGTTTTTTATTCTATTTTGAAGTGAGGAGATTATGTTTTTTTTCCGAAAGGGCATGTGGCAGTTTTGCAGAACTTTTTTTGGGGTTTAGATGTAAAATAAAGATGGGAGTTGATATAATCCAATCAAGGTAGCTGTTCTTGGTGGATTTTAGTGCCACCTGTATATAAGGCATTGATGACCATGATTTTGGACAATAACTAGTTTTTAGCCAACAAAATTTTGAGGATAGGGACTATGTAGTTAGCAGATGCTTGGGTTTCTGGCTCCATTTTTATGCCTCCTATAATAATGCTTAGCTTGATGGTTTGAACCTTGAACATCAGTCATCTGTTATTGGATCTTTCAAATCTAACAAGAAAAGTTGAACAGATGCAAAGATGTCCACAAAGTTTCTCTCCCCTTTTGATGAATTTCATACTTCAACCATTTAAAAAGTGAAAAAAGAAGTTTCTTTTCTGTTTTGAAAGTATGGATTGGAGTACATGCAGGGTGATTTGTTTTCAATGTGTTGTGCATCCCGAAAGTTGCTTGACTGGAACATATATTGAAATTTTCATAAAATAATGTTTGCTCTTTGTAGATTGTTTCTTGTATTTTTGACACATTGGTGTTTATCCTGAATGCAGTAAACCACGTGGTTGTTGGTTGATTGATCAAAAATTCAAGGGTCACTATGATGCAGTCTTTGCTGTTTCAACTCATATTGACGTCTTGTGTTTTCTTGAACTCTGTGAACAATGTGAATGCTGGTATCACAAGTACTTTCATTCGGAAGGAGTGGCCATCGGTAGACATCCCTCTTGATAATGAGGTATTTGCAGTTCCCACAGGACATAATGCACCACAACAAGTAAGATTTTTCTTTTCATTACCTTTATATTTTTCTGCTAGACAAAGTTTATCGACATATGTATTCATTAGTCCTATTTATGTTCTCAATGATCATTAACTGAGCTTGTATGAGAATTATGTTATGCAAAAATGAAGACAGCTTTAAAAAAAATAAAATTAAAAAACTGAAGATTGGTATCAAGTAGTTTTCAAGTTACCCATTTTCCTGAGAAAATTAGGGAGCCACATTCAAGAACAAATTTTTATCTGTGAAACATGCAAGGCTTGATTGCTAATCTATGCATTATATCTGTCAGATTGTCTTGTTCACTGAAATGACTCAATAAAATTTGTACTCATGAAGCATGCTTTCCAATAATGCAGGGCATCTTACCATCAATCTATTGTCATACTGGCTTCTTTTCCAATCCCTTTGCCTACCTGTTTCTAACATACATGTTATTTAAACTCTAGGTGCATATAACACAAGGGGACTATGATGGAAAAGCTGTAATTATTTCATGGGTCACAGCTGATGAACCAGGGTCCAGCAAAATACAATACGGCACATCAGAGAAAGAATATGAATTTACTGCAGAGGGAAAGATGACAAACTACACCTTTTATAAATACAATTCTGGCTATATTCATCATGTTCTTGTTGATGACCTTGAGGTAATAATCATTATTGGGGAAGTAATACTTTCACGAATGGCTTAACTTATTCAACATGGAAAGAAATTCTTTGTAGCCAGTGTTTATTAGAAGCTTATTCTACAACTAGCGTGCCCCTACCCCTAGTGTGTATGGATTTTTTATACGTAGGAATTAATTCCTTTAGCTCTTCTATTACTCAAACTCACAAGAATGCACTTTGAGTTCACTTTGAATTTGAACATATAATTGGTGTTGTCAACTGAACTCTGATAGGAAGAAATTGGTTGCTTAATCATTGATTTATCGATCTCAGTATGATACCAAGTACTAGTGTTGTTTACTGAACTCTGATAGGAAGAAATTGGTTGCTTAATCACTTATTTATCATTCTCAGTATGATACCAAGTACTATTACAAGATTGGGAGTGGTGATTCTGCACGAGAATTTTGGTTTCAAACACCTCCAAAGATTGGTCCAGATGTTCGATACAAATTTGGAGTTATTGGTGAGTGTTTTCCTCTATAATATAAACTAACGTTGGAATGTTTTCAGTCACTTTAATCAAGCTGTCCTGATACATGTTCCTGATTTCAAATGAATAGAAATTGGATATTTATACATACATCCAAAAATGAAGATGGAGGAGAACACACAGATCATGTATGCATGCACATAAACCACACCAAGCTTATACCAAAAATTATTCTGTTAGTGTATTAGAATCAGTTAGTTGATTTTAAACAGAAAAAGGTGCTTAACGACACATGAACTCTTATTACTGCTTGTAAACCTGCTGCTTCTTGATAGCCCATTGGCAAATTGTTGTTGATGTAATACTGGTGACAAGGAAAATGTTGGTAATTTATTGAAGATCAAACAAACTTTATCTTTTATGCTGGAAACAAACAAAAAAGTACATTGCAAGTCAGCTCTATGAAGCCTAAGATCCATAGTTGGATTAGTTACACAATCCTTGTTTACCATTCAATCAAGTTCAACTCCTTAATCAACCGTATTTTTATAAATTAACCTGCAGATTTTTCTGGTCCCTTTCTGATCTGTTGCAGAAAATTCAACCCAATTCACATTAATCAGATCAGACTCATTTCTTACTTTCTTGATGCCAAGTCTTTTCATGAACTCACTTTGGTGTGTTTCTTCTATACTTCTTATTCTTAAATTTATGTTGATTGAATTGTTTTTAATATGTTATAGGTGATTTGGGTCAGACATATAATTCACTGTCCACCCTTGAGCATTACATGCAAAGTGGAGCACAAACTGTCTTATTTGTAGGAGATCTTGCTTATGCTGATAGATATCAGTATAATGATGTTGGCATTCGGTGGGATTCATGGGGTCGCTTTGTTGAGAAAAGTACTGCATACCAGCCTTGGATCTGGTCTGCTGGGAATCATGAAATAGAATACATGCCTTACATGGTAAAGCATTGAACAACCATTACTATTAGATTATTGCTAAAAGTCATATGTTACTTTCTAGTACTATGAGCTTTACCAACTATGCATACTGCTTCTAATTATGCGATGCAATATAATATTTGCATACCACTGTGAAGCATTTCTCTTCAGCTACTGCATGGGCCATATGGTTTTGCTGTCCATCATTTTCAATTTATAAGCATAGAACACTCCTGAAGAAGATTCTGTATTTTATTCTCACTTGTTGAGATCAATATTTTGGTTTTATCATTGTTAGATCTCATCTCATATTAAGCTATCAAAAGTATGACCTCTGATTTCTACATGCTAGCTAACCAGAAGATCATATTTTTAAGGTATTCTCTTTCTTGTTTTATTCCACGTGGGATGCTCTTTACTTGATATAAAAAGTAATGGCATAGCTGACACCAGTTATGATATGTTTTTTATGTTTAATAAAGCTACACTATGTATAAATCTCTCACTCTTTGCAGTAAAACGTTTAGAATCATTTTTGTTTAGTGCTTAACTTTCAGAATTCTTAAAACATGTGCAGGATGAAGTTATTCCCTTTAAATCATATCTCCATCGGTACCCCACACCTCATTTGGCTTGTAAAAGTAGCAACCCTATGTGGTATGCTATTAGACGTGGATCTGCTCATATAATTGTGCTATCCAGCTACTCTCCATTTGGTACATCGTCTTCTTCTCTTCAACCAATCATGGTCATACTAATTAGCTATTGAGCATCACACCGTTTCTGGTCCTCTTATCAAAATTAATTATCATATCTATTACCCCAGTGCTTTCTTATTATTTTCTCCCCCGAGAGGGCAGAGATTGCTTTTGTTTCTTTGTCTTTTTATATCTTACATCAAACTTGATTTAACCTTTTCATAATAGTGAAATACACACCTCAGTGGCTGTGGCTCAGGGAAGAATTGAAGAGGGTTGACAGGGAGAAGACCCCTTGGCTCATTGTCCTTATGCATGTTCCATTATACAACAGTAATGAAGCACATTTCATGGAGGGTGAAAGTATGCGAGCAGTCTTTGAAGAATGGTTAATCCATCACAAAGTTGATGTAATCTTTGCTGGTCATGTCCATGCTTATGAAAGATCTGTATGGTTCTTTCCTTATAATTTCACTTTCCATTTTTCCTTCTTAGCATCACCTTTATTTTGCTTTATCCAACTCATTCAAGGTAGTCTTTTTAAATGATTAATTTGATGTTTTATCTGAAGAAAACTCTCTGTCAAAGTAGTAAAATTATGCTACTTTTGGGATATCTTCCTCTTGTCATAAAACAACTCAAATCAGTCAAGCAATTGCATGAAATGTTTCAAAACTTGTTCCAATGGTAAAATAAGTCAATCAGGGATTCCTTTTGTTTGAGATATTTCTTTTATTTATTTTAAAATGATAAGAATTATAAAAACCATGAAAATTTTCATTTTGTTAATAATGAGAGAGCGCTCTTTTCTCAAGTAGAAATATGAAACCAAGAACCACAAGTCCCAGTATGTTTCTTTGACAAAGTTAAAAGTGGCTATGATTTCATGGAACTCTGGGACATGAGAGGAGTCTATTATGGTTCTAATGATTGAAACATTAACAATTCTGAAATAGCAACATAGAACCCTTAAAATTATACTGATAATAAACTCAAGTGTCTTACATGCTATGATGTCACATGATATGGGTCTATTTCATTAGAATAATTGGTTTATTTTCTGGAAGGAATGCTCATTGGTTTTCCCTCTGAACTTTCAGCATCGAATCTCCAATGTAAGGTACAACGTATCAAGTGGTGAACGTTACCCTGTGCCAGACAAATCAGCTCCCGTTTACATCACTGTTGGAGATGGTGGAAATCAAGAAGGTCTAGCAGAAAGGTAAGTTGGATAGCATATTTGAGATTTTCTGCCTGCATAAGGCAACATTAATAGTAGAGCAATAATGATTCACTATTTTCTTACAATCAATCTGTAAGAGATGACATTCCTCATCATTTTTAGCAAATGTTATTGCGTTCTGTAGATTTAGAGATCCCCAACCTGAGTATTCTGCATTCCGAGAAGCCAGTTATGGCCATTCAACACTGGAGCTCAGAAACAGGACACATGCATTCTACCACTGGAACCGCAATGATGATGGGAAAAAAGTGGCAACTGACTCATTTGTATTACACAATCAGTACTGGTGAGTAGAAGTAACCATTTCTTCTAGTTAGCCAGTGGTGCAGCACACAAGTTTTATGGTATTTGACCTGTCAACCTCATTTAGTTACATGGGTTCATAACCTAGTTTCCCATCTTATTGGGTTACTTGGGAGTTGGGACATAAGGTTGCAACAACAGCCTTTTTTTATAAATGGCATTTTCCATTTGTAAGAGAGAATCTAGAACAGTACAAATGATGGACAAAACTCTAGTTTTTAACAATACTTCTGTTCACAAAGAGGTGGGGGTTACAACTGTAGTTTTACTCATGGTTATGACTACTAGCTATAGTGAGTTCTTGTAATCCATTTGCAAATGTATGCAACCATTTTGATTGTCATTTTGATTTCTCAGTCGAAGAGGTATTAATTTGTGTAAGGCTGTATGTTTAGATGAGGAAGCATCATAGTCTGCAGCAAAACCAAGAACAAAATCAATTAATTTTGTGGAGTTAAACAAGCACATGAAGCATGTTTAGAGCAGCTGCATGATCTTATTTGCTTATTTAGATATTTGCAACTAAGAAAAATTTTATAGAAGGAAAAAAAAATTAGGAGTATTCAAGACATTTAGGTTCTCAGGCTCTCTTAACACCATTGTTCTATAGAAGTCTGGGCCAGACAGATAATAGGAAAAATATGAAACAAAAAAAATATGCATTATATTCGTTTTGTTAATGGAGAATTGATTCACTTATGAATGAAGGACCTTTTAAACCAACTGCCTCAGCTTCACGTTTGTGGTGTCACTAAAATCTGACAGCATAGATGTACCAGAAAAGAAATGGTGGCACATATGTAGCATTCATTTAATATTTCCGGAACACAATTAGGTAATTTGAGATGCAGATATGTGATTGAATTTAAAAGATGAAGTTAGACTGACTTGTTTTCTTGCAGGTCAAACAATCTGAGACGAAGAAAACTGAAGAAGCACCGTTTGAGCGCGCTTGGCCGGATTGCTTCTTATTGAGAAGAAATTTCAATCAAGCATTTTCATCTCTGGTATGATTGCTTGATGAAATTTCAGAGAGGAGATGAAAATGCCATCAATGGTCAAACCGATAAGCAAAGATGTAAATTCTTTACTGGTGATGCATGAAGCTCCTACTGCAGTGATCTTTTCCTTCTGATTCACTCTTGAGAATGCAATATTGAAGTGGTGAATAAATTGAAAGCTGTAGTAAAATCTCTAGAATTATCACTGTTCAAGAATTAGGGTGGTTTCCTTTGATTCTATGTAACTTTGAAGACGGATAAACCCTTTTTTTTTTTTTTTTTACCTTTGATCATATTTCTAGTGAAAATAAATGGGATTATGAAAAGCTTGCTCCTTTATTGATGTCTGAATCTATGCCACTCCATGAGTTGTACATGAGAGGATTTTAAGACATTTTGCTGAAGAATACAAACCAACGGTAATATCAAAAGAAAATGTTACATTGATTAGAAAAACAAGCAAAAAAATAAGTATAGTGATGGTACCCAGCTCTGCATGCTAAAGCTTTGGGCAAATCCCAATTTCTCATGTCTCCTAATTGGTAAAGCATCCAAAAACTCAAACTTGACACAGCCTAGAATCGCTAAGAAAAATTTATATACACAGTTTTCAAGTATTAGCTCCTATAAATACATACCCAGGGTCTTGGCACGGTGGGTAGAACATCCTATGGTTCACCAAGTAGGATATTGAACATGGCCAGCCCAGGAATTGGGATAAACTGGGTTTGGCATCGACTTGAGTTGCAAGCTCAAATTTGCAGACCTGGCTCTCTCTAATTAGAACTCAGAACCTGTCTTTGGATAACTTAGGAATCACGGAAAATCGGCTGTGGCATCCACTTAAGGTGCAGATTCAGTTTTCCGGATTTAGCTCCCTCTAGCTTGAGGCTATCTTTGTATTCCCCTTCCAGTAAAACCCTAGTCAATGTCAATATGCACCTCCCCATGTAATCCTGCAAGATTGTAAAACAAAAACTATGTTAGAGCATTATTACTATTAAAATTTGAAATGGAAAGCTTCCATCTGCACTCTTAAAATTTTTACTCACCCCCCACCACTTCAGCCAAGCTCAAGATAGCAACATACTCGATGTCGAGAAATCAAGTGATCTTGTTTTTAACAACTAACAATATAGTGTTGAACTATCATAAAAACCAGAAATCAAATACCCTAATCTAACAACTACCAATAAAGTGTTGAAAATGATGCAATCTAGCACTCAAGGGGCCCCAATGAAGATGGACATGACATCCCAATCTTCAAACCTGTGTAACTAAAGGAAGTAGCTTAAAACTTACTACAACATTGTCTAACTTAGAAACCAAAAAGAATTTATGGCCAGTAAAGAAGAAGAATTTAAGAATTTAACAGTTTCCATAAGGAAAAAAAATAAATTAACAGTAACAGCAAATAATTTACCTTCCCAAAAGTGTCATGGTCCCATACTTCAAGGATTAGCATATCATGTAATCCATCCTCAACAACAAAGTCAAAAGTTTGATTCCAAGCTGGATTCAAGCTGTCATTCACAACCTGACAAAGAAAACAACTTTAAGGACCAAAGATTCTTTATGCCCCTTTTCCTGAAGGATAAAAAACATAGATCCATACAAGAGTCCAGGATGGTTCGCTAAAACTTTCAATTAGCTATAATACTATGCAGAAAGGAAATACATGGCAACCTCTATGAGGAAATCATAACTAAAAGAATCCTTGAAAACACTCAAAAATAAAAAAACATGCAGGCGGTGGCTAAATAGTACCCACATCTTGCATCCTCCAAGATGGTTTCAAGTTCAAGTCCCCTTCTTTCAAGCCCCAATTTGACTAAAAAATAAACAGAATTAATAAACAAGGATAACAACTCTACCAAACCTTTTGGCAATCAAAATCTTACCCTAGTTTTGTTTCTTGCCTCTGATTTCTTCATCGTGAGCACAACATAGGGATCAGCCTTTCCCATCAAATCTACAATAGGTAAATCTTCAGCAGATATCACAGTTACAGACAGTACTCCTCTAATAATAACCTCCTTTTTCTTCTGTGTGACTGCTTTTTCATTTTCAATAGTGTCTGTTCCATTTGCTCCACTTTTAAGAACCTTCTCCAAGGAGGTCATTGAAAAGTTAGATGAAAAGGAGTTTGTAAAACCATTCTCCATGCCAAAGGGACGGTACAAGAGCTCCAAGTGCACCTGAAAACCAACATAAAAATTTCAAGCAAAACATAAATATCATCATTTCATACAAATACAGAATTTCTTTGAATAAACAACCTAATAAAAATAATCTAAGCAAGTAAGAAATTTATAACTTAAGGACTGAGTGAATGAGTGCATGCAACTTGGGGCCAAAAATGCTGGCATATCTGTTACGGAACCAGTTCTCTCTCCCTAAGCACAGGTTCATTGCTTGGCTTGGTTTTTTGGATAGGTTAAATACTCTTTCTCATAATAAGAGTTGGAGCATTTGTCTTTGTAAAATTACATGCTATTTCTATGATGAGGAAGAGACCAAAGACCATATCTTCTTGACCTGCAGCTCTTCTAAAGAGGGCTGTGGGAGGATTCTGGAGAAGATTCTTACTGTAAGGCAGAATGGTAACTGGCATATTGAGTAAGGTTGAATCCTTTCTCATACCAAGGATAAGGCTTCTAAGGCTATCTTGCAGAGAGAGGCTTCAACTGCATACCTTTACTACATTTGGAGAGACGGAAACCTATTGAAATTTGGTTGTAAGTCCCTTAATGGTGATAGTATTTTGCATTCTTTTATATTTTATGTCAAAACTAGGCTGAATGGCATTGTTAAAATAGTTGTTGCCCCCATCAATGAATTCCATGTGATAAGTGGGGCATTAATGTTGGGGGAAGTCATTAATTTTTCTCTAAATTGGTATCTTTATACTTTTATAGCAGGCTTCTCCTGCTTTCTTGGATAAAGCAATGCTAGTTATCCCTAAAAAAGAAATGAGTGAATGAGAAAGAGCATATTGATTTTCAAACAAGTGATCTATGTGACAATAGGTAGATAAAGTAGCAAAGAAAAAAATTCTCTTTACTATTAACCGTCCCAAGGGGAATTAGCACATGATTGTATAAATTCGGACAAAGGATATTCATATTAAAGTGGCTACACTTGCATATATAACACTTTGAACCTGCACCTAGGGGTATTACAATTTGAAAGAATGAAAAGCTATCCTAGGAAACAATTACCCATCAACAAATTCAATTTAGCTCAAAACATATATGCTAGCACACAAATGCTTGACTCTTATTATACTACTAAAGGAGGGTAATCAATGTCCTCACCTGGCCCCTGTACTTAGTATCTCTCTGGATCTCCAAGTCTTTAACTAGATTCAACCAGACATCCTTCACTTTACCAGGTTCAAGTTCCCTTATCTGTACTTGAGCACATCCAATGAGCTCAGACGCCTGAAGCCCCTCATCATCATAGATTCTTACCACCAAGTGCTGAGTTGTTGCATCCTCAATAATAAATTCATAATGTTCATTCCAAATAGGATTCAACTCATTGTTCTGGGGAGAAAACACAAAAATTTCTTCTAAACCTACAGGAAAAATTATTGAAACAGCTTCTTTTTTCTGTTGGAAAGAACAAAGAGGAAGCAGGGAGGGGAAGGACAACTTACAATTGTTTTACTTTTTTTTGTTTTGTCAGGTAAAGGCCGTACATATAATACAGCATAGGGATCCGATTTCCCAATAATATCTTTGTTTGTTAAGTCCCGTGCCTGTACAAGCTTCACCTCTAGTATTCCAACCGGCTTTAATTCCAAATCACTGAAAATAGAAAGACATTAGCTTCTTCAACCATCAGCTGTTCCACTCCTTAGACGTTGAGAAAGAGAGAACAACGCCACCTCCCAAATAAATCAACCAATTCACATGCACTCATATCCCCACCGTGGGATATACACAGAATCTATATTCAAGAGAAAATACACGCATATTTCACCTCTACTAACTACAGTTTCAGATAAAATTTAGCAGGTCCTTCAAATATCGACTTCATTCTTCCTTTGGATTCTTTATCTTGCTCAGCAGACACGAGTAAGGCTCTTTGTACGCTGTTCATTTGCTTGGCCTGAGTCCATAGTTCCTTCTTTTATACATTGCACTTTATTATTATCTATTAACATAGAGAAAAAGGAAAGGCAAAACGTGTACCTATAGTCACCAGGTAAAATGCAAATAATTTTTCTGACAGGCCACATGATAGAATCTTCAATGGCATCCCGAATTGTGCTCTGCATGGGAAACAATATAATAATATGTAAATCTCTTTGACATATGATAACACTTTCCTTCTCACAAAATAGAATAATAACAACTTACAACAGTGTATCACCATGCAAATCATAGACACCACAGAAATCAATTATTAACTTGTAAGCAAGGTATATGCACATTTAATAATTTAACAGAAGCTGTATTAATCATCACATACAAAACCTAAAGCTCACATAATGTTGCAAAGCTAGTGTGAGGTTTCAACTTTTTCAACTTTAAAAATTACAAGTTATTAAATCAAGTCAAATGCTAAGATAACAAATCTACTCGGAACTGCCTATTTGTTATCCTTAACTAGGAAAATAATTTAATTTAAGAATAAAAGCCAAAGTCCTTAAAAAATTGCGTTAGAAGGTGGGTGTAACCAAATTCCAAACTCCTATAAGCTGGATACAAGTCAGTGCTTTGATTTGGTTTTATAATACAGGAACGAATTTGATCAATAATCTTGAAGACCTTAAATGATGTTTGCAAACTAATTTAAGTGATTCCCTAAGCAATTGAGCAAACAACTTCCCTGTGGACCACCATATGAGAACCATAAGCATCAGTTTGCATGACGTACACCACAAATAAAACACAGCCAAGCGTAAGCCAAAGTTCTTATCCTCATGTTTCAGGTTCATCATTTAAAGAAACTAAAACAGCAATTGCAACGATAAAGACATCACTAGTAACAAAATCCTTCAGTGTACAAAGGTTTGGTTATCATGGTGACAAATTCTCAAAAAATCATCCACTTCTTAGATGATAACAAGTTACACCATACCATGTCAACCAGCCAGCACTGTTGACATAATGGAATGCAAAATAGAATGAATATCTGATATTTTGATGGGTCCACGCCTTGAGACCTGATGGTCATGGCACTAAATCCCTTTCCTTTGTGCCAGAGACCATCCTCTAATGTACCAACAGATCCTGAATTCAGCAGTAAGGATTAAACTGCTCTCTCCTGTCCACATTTCACCAATTTCAATTTTTTGCTGTAAAGTAGTCCAGCAAAGGCATCCACAAGTCAACAAAATCCCAGCATAAGGGAGCTTTGCCCTATATCTCGGCCCAATTATAATCTTTCTGGAGTCATCTATCAAGGGGTGTCATATTTCTTAACATGTCAAGAAGATTTACAAAACTAAGCCTCTAAGACACTGTTATCTTGAGCAGATGAAAACTAAAAGCGAATATCTCAAACTGAAATTTAAATTTCTCTCCAAAAACAAAAAAGTTCTGTTTGTGGCACCATTCATGCAAAAAATTACAACCATAAGAAGAATTGGGAAAATTGATTGATACAGTAGAAAAAACATAGTGAAGTAGTAACATAATCCAGTGTCAAGTCACACAAACCTCAATAGCATCAGAAAGTCCGGGAATGGTTGATATGTCACCACCAATGACTTTTAGGGTGAAATCCAACTTTTTCTGCAAGCCAAAAATGCATATTAACCTAGTTATATCAACTAAGTGCATATGCATAGTGCCAGTGTGTAGTGTATGTGTGATGAAACCCAAGCATGCAAGGGCAAAATATTACACCTTCAGTAGCCTAGCTAATGGATCAAAATTACTTCCACTTGGATATCATGGGTATTATCTTCAACTGAAGCAACTTTTATACATCAGTTTTTACAGAAATTTTACACACAGCAACCCAATGATTCCTATTTAGCAATCAAATCAAGCAACAAAAAAAAAAAAAAAAAGATAGTGGAAACAAGAGTGAAATATGTCAATTATAAGTGTTAAAAGGGAACCAACAAAACTAACACCTGCTTATCTGAGTGAGTACAATTGAATTGCTTAGTGTTAAAACCGTAATTAATAACTTCAATAAAATAGCAAACTAGCAAGAAAATTCCTCCAAGCATCAGATTTTTTTTTTCTTTAGGCACCAAAAAAATAGCATTCACGTAAATATTATATGCATCGACAAATACTCCCTGAAACACAACCAACATATATAAGTAAACTTGCATCTCAATCGCATTTCTTTCTATGACCACAATTAAAGCCCTTTCTCCATGGGAAAACACGTGTATATTAACTTGCAATATTGGAAATGAATAACAAACCTTTTTTCTCAGAGAAAAACATACAGCTCCAAAGCAAGGAAACTCATTCACCAGGGGCTTAAATATTAACCTGAAAACTCCAGTGAATCCAATATCTTTCACCTAAGTCAAAGGAAAAAGGAATTAAACATCAACAGCTGTCATTCTGGAGAAAAAGCTTAACAACTTGAAACATTGTGCTGTTATATAAGATTAAATCCATTGCCAAAGACAAGTAAAGCCTCAACAAAAAAGAATAAAATTAGTTTACAAGATTTGTGCTCTTTACCAGCATAGTTGCTCATGCAATGTCAAAAGCGTGGAGCATTCCCAAATAACAAAACATTACTATGAAATATAGATCTACAAAGGTAAATTAGCATTAATAGATCTAACATCTATAAGCCTTCTGCATAAAGTTTTGAAAAATACATACAAACGTTTGCTAGACTGTAGGAATATTAAAAGATCACAGAAAATGGCATATGCTTGGTCTTCATATCTTTCAGTGATCAAACACTTTGATAACTTCCCAACAAATGCCCAAGAACTCCATGGTTTTAATATCATATTCAACAAAACTATACTTTTAATCACATTTACAACCCTTAAATAGGATTAACAGTGGGAAGCCAGAAATTTGGTAGCAGAGCAGAGCACATAGAACAATTTTCTATAAATAAGGATGAAGAATATCACAGCATTTGATTCAAGAAGCAAGAATACATAACCCAAACGATGCTTTTAAAGGGAATCCAAGTGAGAAACCATAGCAAATAAGCCAACTAAGCTAGACAATACCTGCACAGGTAGTGATACACCAAGATAAGTCTTGATGTCAAGTATTATACTTGAATTTGCATCCCACTGCATTTCCATCTCCATTGTAACACTATCAGCTTCATCTTCAACAATACTTACTCCTTAAGAATGATAGTGCTTCATAAGTAACAAAACTCACCCATAAAAGCATCATTTAAAGAAAAAGCAGCTCATGTCTTTCACACCCAAGATGGATACATTAAGGCTCTGTTTAATTTTGTTACTCTTTTTTTTTTCTTTTTGATTCCAGAAGAAAATAAAAAAAAGTGTGCTTGGATTACCTAAAAAAAGGGCAACCAGTATTTATGAAAATTAAAAGAAAAATTAAACTTCATGAATAACACAATACATTATTTTACTATTACATAGAACAATTATGTTTGAACTGATGTTTTATTTTTAGTCATATGCTAGAATTAATGGCCATCCATTTACTTCCAATGGCAAAAGCGAAAAGCATTGAGAAAGTCCATTAACAACTAACAATTCAAAACCAAAACAAATAACGGTAACCCAATAAGAAAATAGGAATCAAAATTTTCAAAAAGTGAGAATCGATTCTGTAAACTACCAACCAGTAAACTGTGGTGCAACAGTGCCGAGAGTAAACTTGGAAAACTTTAAAGAAGCCAATATAATCGGCCTATATTGTTCAAGCACCGGCTCCACCGAAGTCTTTATCAGATCAGATGCTGCCTATAACACCAAATTGAAACAATTGTTCTCAAAAAGAAAAAAAAAAAAAGGAAAAAGGAAAAAATCCTTTTCTTTTTGTTCCTCTGTTTCATTCATTAAACAAAGTTTTTACCTCATTAACGTAAGGCCAGATCTTCGTAAGGTGCTGATTAAGCCAAGTCAACTTCTGGCGCTGCGAGAAGACCACCCAAGAAGGGTAGAATTGTGCCGGCAAGATCTTTCTAGAATCTTCCACTGTCATTCTCGCAAAAGCCGCCACCGTCGCTGCCTGCAACCAAAAGTAATTCAAAAAAAGGTAAAATGAAATTCGAAAAAGAAGAAGTACGAGTGAAGGACTAACGAGCTCATTTCGACGCTTGGATCGAGAGTTCTCGGACCGAACAAAGAAAACGATAATAGCCAGGCCAACGACAAGCCCAACCACGAGTCCGAAAACGAATCCCATTTCCGAAGAGAGAAAATTACTGAAAGATTGAAATTTGAGAGAAAAAAAAATACTGTTTTCGATATTTCTTTGCTGCAGACAGTGAAGCAATAATAATGGAGAAAATCGTAAAAGGTGAGGCCCAAAAAAAAAGGTTAATGGTGTTGAGGATTTAGCGGGGGCCTTACGTGGCAAAATCGTGAAATCAAATGAATAAATGAAAGATTAAGACTTGAATTAGATTTGTTGGGAGCGAAGAAATGGGGTGCGGTGATACAAGAAAGCGAGTGAAAGGACGTTGCCGACGCAAAGGCAATCTTTTGGGTGTGCGGATCTTTGGCTTATTAGAGTATGTTTACCAATCAGATTGCGACACGTCTGCTTTTGAGTTTGTAGGGGTCTCCTCAGGTCTCTTTTTTTCGTTAAAGGTAGCTGAATTCGGCATGTGGCGATAACCCTTACACTTTTCCTTCCACAAATTTTTTTTTATTATTGTACGGATTTGAATTCTTATGCTAAAAGTCCAAAAGATAGGATATTATTTTTCTCTTTGATTAGTGTGTATATATATATATATATATGATAATATATATATTTATTGCCACTGTGTGGCTGTGGCAGCCAATGGGTGGAAAACAGGGATCGGGTGGATTTTCTTTTTTTTTTTTTTTTTTATGTGTGAAGGTTTCCTTTTCCTCTTATTGCAAATTTGGAATTGGCCAAGTTGTTTATTGGGCTTGAATCGAACAGCTTATATAATAGAAAGGCCTTGAGTTGAGTTGCAGCTTAGCTGCCTGCCTTTGAGTCTAATTTTGGTGAATCTACTGATGAGAGGCAGAGGCTAATGGTTTGTTGCTTTATAGGTACTTATAACCTGTGAAATCAGCCCAAAATAACCATCTCAGTCCATAATCATGAAGCCCAAGCTGTGCAACAAGCTAAAGAACTATACAGTGTTGTAGACAAGCCCAGGAGGTTGCGAGCTGGACACAGCAGTGGAATGGGCAGCGCAACTCACTCGCACTCGACTATTTGATTGACGCTGCAGTTGGATCTCATCAAAGTAGCAACGACGATCTAGATTAGTGACAAGTGACGGCCAAATCAAAAGTCATCATATTAGTAAATGAAAAGATTTTATTGTTTTGTAAAATGAAATCACAGCAACAGCAATCATGCATGCCTCCCTGCTATAAGCCTATAACGTTATAGACGTCTTAAAACATATATACAGTAAGATGATTGCTCCAGCTCATTTAATATCTCATCTCAACTTGTCAAATCGAGGTGGGATAAGTTTATACATTGTTGACCAATCGCATATCCAAAATTTAAAGCCAGATAGACATTGATGATGCAAGGAAGGCCCACGACTTTGCCAAGTACCAAGTCACATCATAACAGCTTTTCACATGGTCACTTCATAATTGACATCTTCGGAAATTTCCTTTCTTCTTGGATGCCTCTTTTCTTTTTTTTAACCATTTTCTATTGGATTTTCCATTGGAACAATGATTACGAGATGGGAAGATGCCTTGGTTGTAATATTGTCATGAAAATGCTACTACAAAAAAGGTCCACCATTTTTGGCTGATTCAAGAACCATTTTTTCCCGTGACTGTAATTTGTTATTACCTTTGTCTCTGTCGCCCCTTTTCCCCTTTTGGCACCACTGAAAAGGCAGCCACTTCTATATATGATTTAAAAGGTTTGTTCATAATTAGATACAAATTGATCAATATTATTGAAGCTTCCCCAATTAGATTAAAATATATAATGATGACAGCTTAGATCTAATATATTATATGAATTATTATATTTTTCTTTAAAAAATCCCATTTTTTTTTTATTATAACATCAATAATTCTATTAACTTTTGAGCAGACAGTATACAATTACAGAAAATAAATTGAAGGACAGATAAAGAATGTACCTGCAGCAAGCATGCAGACATTCCAGCATTTCTTTTGGTTACTTTTCAGCTCCAGATCCAATTTATAAATTGAAAAATCATAAAAAAAATAAAATATATATAAATGTTTTGATTATGTAAAGATAACATTTATACTTATTTATTTCTGTGGGTATCCATATTACTGGGCATGTCCTTTTTGGGTTAATTAGATCATTTCAAACACTAATGATAGCTTATATGAGTAATTTTTAAAGTTTTTCATGTGAGCTGGAGATTAAAGAAATGGACCGCAAGAATCCAAAATTAATGGGGAAACGAGGTTAACTGAAAAAAATAACGTGACGATGTGATTACAAATTTATTGAAATAAAAAAAATCACTAAGTTTAAATAAAAATACCAAACTTGTAAATAAATATAATATTTTCATGAATTAATTAATTTAATGATATTTTTATTTTTTTAATAAAACAATCTAAATTAAATATCTTCAAGAGGTTATTTTTGTTTATTTAAGACCAATAAAAATAAATGTACATCTGTAAATGCACGTGCATATGCATGTGCATGTAATTTTATATTTGAAGTTGATAATGTTTATTACTTTGGTTTTCATTAGAGTTCTCATTATTTTCATTACTACTACACTCTATTATTTTATCTCTCTACTCTTCTAAGTATTTTATACTAACTGCATACTTAACCACTAGAATCATGCGAAATTCAAACTTTATATCCTTTGATTGTATCCCTATTTTGCAACTTTAGAATTTGGTTGGGTTAAATTTGGATTGGCCCTTTGAATTGCACCCATTCGAATCATTCAAGTTTCAAGGTATGAAATTAGATTATTTCTATTTTAAATTATTAAATTTTAAAATTAAATTATTATCAATATTATTATTAATATAGATATAAAAGAAAAAATAAAGCCGAGGGGGATGATGTTGTTCAAGCAAAGATATGGGGATTTTAGAGAGGCCGGCAATTGCCACAGTCGGTGTTAGGGCTCCAAGCGAAGGCAAGGGGCCCAACAGGTCCCTAAACGCGAAGTTTCCACTTCCGGACGTTGACGCTTGTCTTCATGCGGGTGACTGGGATTTCGTCATCTCTGCCCTCATCAATTTGCAAAACAAAAAACATCACAACCATAAGATCACACTGGCCCACCCCTGGCCCAATAATTATTTTTCGGTCTTTATTTTAAGATTATTACTATTATTTTACAAAATGTCAAATTTCAAAATTCTCAAACGGATTGAAATATTATCATATTTTATTTATTTATTATATTAATTATTTTAAATACATTTTATAAAATATATGACAACCTTTTAATTTTATTAATATAATTTAAAAGTTCCACCAACAATATGAGATTTTTTTTGTTTTATTTATCAATTTAGATTTTAGAAGGAATCATTGTTTCAAGTGATTTTTTTTTCAACAACAACAACAATAATAATAATAATAATTTTATTTTTTTAATTATATATCAGCTTCATTTTTTTTTCTTTTAGTTGTTAGTTTAATTTCTTCCAAATACTAAAAAAAGCAAAAAATGAATTTGAAATCTAACTACAAGAAAAATTATCAATTTTAACTTAGTTATTTTATATATTGTTAGTTTGCATTGAGAACTTTTGTTCGATAAATTGAAAATTTAAGTATTGGTATCTTTAGTTTTAAAATTTTAAAATAAAAAATTTTTAGTATAAAATTTATTTTCTATTTTACTTAAAATTAACTATTCAGTAAATATATTCATTTGTGTATTAATTTAAATGGCATTTATATTAATTCAATTTTTAAAGGTCATGAGTTCAAGAATATTTAGTTGCATCGTACTTTTTTAATGAGTTCAGTAGATTGAGGTTAGGATTAACAGTAGATTAAAATTTTTTAAATTATTCAGTAATATTTTGTTAATTATTTTTAAGTTTTTATATTAATTTTGCTATAAAATGATCCAATGGTATTTTTTAAGGTTATCATATAAAATAATATCTTTACTCAATATGTTAGAAATCATTAGTGAAATTAAATCTTAATTTAACTCAAATTGTTCATTAGTCATTTTTAAGTGGTGGAATCAATAAATTTGATTTTAAAATTCGGTACTGGTAATTTTTTTTATCTTCTCAACTATTATTTTTATTAATTAACTTACAAAAATATTTTAACGGAATACGAAAAGAATATAATTTTTCCTTAAACAAAAATGAGTGAAAACGATAAGTAGCTTTCGATTATTTAAGATTTTCAACTTTTTATTAAAAATTTTTTAAAAAATTTAAAAAAATTATCAAATAATTTAAAAATACTCAGTATTTTTAACTTTAAAAAGATTAGATGTATTATAAAATTATTAAAATTTTAATAATTTATCATTTTAATAATCAGACAAAAAAGGTGAAAGGTAAGAGCAATTTCCACCGGACAATAACAATAAAAGAAACAAAAAGTACTTGTAAAAACGATTGTCCTAATATTTAAATCATCGTACAATTAAAAAAAGAAAATACGAAGAAAAAAAAAAAGGAAATGGAATTAAAACAACGCCACCAGTAGAGTTCTGCTCTGTCACAACTCTTTCTCTCCCGTACCAATAATGTATCTTTTTTTTTTTATTTATAACCGAAATTCTTCTCTTCCCTTAACACCATTACTCCTCTGTCTCTCTCTTTAGTTCTCTTCGCTTCAGCCTAAGCTCCAACAACCCCAAAACGCCGTGCCTCGTGACGCTATGTTAGAGAATGGGCCACGGGACCAAACTCAAAACCAAGACCAAGACCAAGACCAAGACCATGACCATGACCATGACCATGACCATGACCATGAGTCTTTCACCATTCCTTTACTCTCTCACCAACAGCGATCCTTTAATTCCACCTCTCAGGTGGCCATCGTCGGCGCCAATCTCTGCCCTATCGAAAGCCTTGACTACGAGTAAGCTGCCCTTTTACGGAACTATCATTTTTTTTTTCTTTAGATTATGTATTTTTATCGTTACGGAAATTTTTTTTTTAAGGATTGCGGAGAATGATTTCTTTAAACAAGACTGGAGGACACGTGGCATGATCCAGAATTTTCAATATATTTTCATGAAATGGCTTCTCTGTTTTTTGATTGGCGTTCTCGTCAGTCTCGTTGGTTTCTGTAATAATCTTGCCGTTGAGAATATCGCCGGCGTTAAGTTCGTTATTACTTCTAACATGATGTTCGCTGGAAGGTCTCTCTCTCTCTCTCTCTTTTGAATTTCTGATTGGTTGAATTTCATTTATTAGTATTTCTTATAGCGAAAATTTTTAAATACTTTATCCGCAAATTTTATTTGCTAATATGGAAATTCTTATTACTCCTCTCATGTCTCACTTTTTAAAAAACAAAAAGTCTGAAGATTTTTTGTGTGTTCAGGTACGGGATGGCATTTCTAGTGTTTTCCCTATCGAATTTGGTTCTAACTCTACTTGCCGCCTTCATTACGGCGTTTATTGCGCCGGCGGCGGCTGGTTCTGGTATACCGGAAGTGAAGGCTTACTTGAATGGTGTAGATGCTCCGGGAATATTTTCACTACGAACTTTAATTGTTAAGGTATTTTTTTAAAAAGGGAAAAATTAATTGCAAACTATAAATTGTTATTGTGTGGAAAATCCTTGCTGATGTTAACATTGATGCAGAGCTGAAGAGGTTTTTTTCGCTAAGTTTTATAATCAATTTATGTTTCTTAATTCTAATCGGATTAAATCACTAATAAATAGAGTTAATATCTAATTAGTTATCGAGTTATAGGATTTTGTGCTTTCAAAGTTTCACATGTATGTTAAAATTGTGATCAATTCTTTTTCACTTAGATTAATTAGGAATTGAGGTGAAACAATTTTCTATTCTTTTCTTTATCCCTTTCTTGCATTTAGATGTAGAAATCTCATAATTGTGTTAAATCTGCAGATTGTGGGAAGCATTTCTGCAGTGTCTTCATCTCTGCTTGTTGGAAAGGCAGGGCCTATGGTGCATACAGGTGCATGCGTTGCGTCGTTGTTGGGACAGGGTGGGTCAAGAAGATATGGTTTAACATGGAAGTGGCTTCGTTTCTTTAAGAATGACAGAGACCGAAGAGATCTTGTGACGTGTGGATCGGCAGCTGGAATTGCTGCTGCTTTCCGTGCCCCAGTTGGAGGTGTGCTGTTTGCTCTTGAAGAAATGGCATCTTGGTATGTAAATTGATACATGCATTTGGAGCACCATGTTGATATATTATTAACCATCCTTTCATCTGTGTACTGGGTGTTATTGCATATTGTTCTTAGTTGGTAACTTTTTAAGGTTTTACGCTTGTCTCATCTTTTTTTTATCTTTTTATTGTTTAACCAAAAACAAATTTGTATTAGGCAATAATAGAATAGCTCAGCCTTTTCATTTTAGTAACATGCATTATTTGCATATGGTTCATTGACATTCTAAGACTTTGTGATACTATAAGGCATGGCTTTCTTCAACACTATATTAAGATAGTCTCCGTGCTTCATATCTGCTAATTTAATTCATTTTATATCCATGTTATCTGTTTCTATAGTCTGCCGGTCTTCATATTCTCACATTCATATTTGCTGATTCATAAATCATGTATTCTTCTGTTTGTATTGCTAGTTTATGAAATTGTCTTCATGAATGTTCTTTATTTCATAGATGAAAGACAGAACAGATTTGGGGCCGTTATAATCAATAACATGCTGATTAATATAGCCCTTTACTAGCTATCTGCAGTCAGTATGGGATTCTTCTATGTTCTTGATAGAACATATTTTACATCGAGAATCACCTCCCTTTTCTTTCATTCATCATGTACAGGGTTCTCAATGATGTCTGTCTGATAACACAAAACAAGCAAAAGTTGACATCTAAAGATGATTGCCTTGTTTTGTTCTGCAGGTGGAGAAGTGCCCTTCTTTGGAGAGCTTTCTTTACGACAGCTGTGGTTGCAATTGTACTTCGAGCTTTAATTGATGTTTGTTTAAGTGGCAAGTGTGGGCTATTTGGTAAAGGGGGTTTGATAATGTTTGATGTCTATTCAGCAAATGCTTCATATCACATAGCTGATGTGCCTCCTGTACTTGTTCTCGGAGTTATTGGGGGCATATTGGGAAGTTTGTATAATTTCCTTCTAGATAGGATTCTCCGAGTTTACAACCTCATTAATGAGTAAGTTATATTTTGAGATTTGTGTTGTTTACTCCAATTACCATTTCCTGTATCTGGCATAATATAATTTACTGGGGTCATTCCCCTTGCTTATTTCCCCTTCTTTTTCTCCTCAGGAAAGGCAGTGCTTATAAAATTTTTATTGCTTGCACAATCTCCATTTTTACATCCTGTCTGCTTTTTGGATTACCATGGTTTGCATCTTGCCAACCATGCCCTTTGCATGCAAGTGAAGCCTGTCCCACAATAGGTAGATCTGGTAACTACAAGAAATTTCAATGCCCTCCTGGTCATTACAATGATCTTGCAAGCCTCATTTTCAACACAAATGATGATGCTATCAGAAATCTTTTCAGCATGAATACTGACTCCGAGTTTCAGCACTCAACAATGCTCATATTTTTTGTCACTTGCTTCATTCTAAGTATTGTTAGCTATGGGATTGTTGCTCCAGCAGGTCTTTTTGTACCTGTCATAGTTACTGGAGCATCTTATGGGCGCTTTGTTGGAATGTTACTTGGTTCTCACACAAATCTTAATCACGGTCTTTATGCTGTGCTTGGTGCGGCTTCATTTCTTGGTGGGTCTATGAGGATGACAGTCTCCTTGTGTGTCATGATCCTGGAATTGACCAATAACCTATTATTGTTGCCATTGATAATGATGGTTCTCCTTATTTCCAAGACTGTAGCTGATGCTTTTAACAGCGGCATTTATGACCTTATTATGAAAGCAAAGGGTTTTCCTTACCTAGAAGCTCATGCTGAACCTTATATGAGACAGCTGACAGTTGCTGATGTTGTCTCTGGTCCACTTCAGCTCTTTCATGGAATTGAGAAGGTCAGTAATATAGTACACATCCTCAAAACCACAAGGCATCATGGATTTCCAGTTATTGATGAGCCTCCTCATTCTGAATCCCCAATTTTGTGTGGTTTAATCCTCCGTGCTCATCTAATTGCTCTGTTAAAGAAGAGAGCCTTTTTGTGCGCCCCTATGCGGATAGGTGTTGATGCTTTTAGGCATTTCTCATCAGATGATTTTGCAAAGAAGGGCTTAGGTAATGTTGTCAAGATAGAAGACATAGAATTAACTGATGATGAGATGGAGATGTTCTTGGACTTGCACCCTTTTACCAATGCTTCACCTTATACAGTTGTGGAGACAATGTCACTACCTAAGGCTCTCATACTTTTCCGTGAAATTGGTTTACGGCACCTACTTGTCATCCCCAAGATCTCCAAGGTAAGAAACTTAGTTAATATTAATTTTCCTTGAATTCTCATTCTTTTTCTGCTTCTTCATGTTTCTACATTCTGAGTTAAAAGTTTACTGCATTTCTTCTTCATTCCAAAACCCAAAAACTGACACTCCTGTGGCTGTGGTAGACTATAGTCAATTCCACCATAGCTTTTCTTTTACCCTACTGTTTCTTTCCTGCAGGCATTTCGGTTCACCATTGATTCTTCCACTCTCACTTTTACTTTGATTATGGTGGTCTTTTTTATTATAGCTATTATTTTTAACCTATTCAATTCTCTGATGTTGTGACTGCAGAGAGCACCTGTAGTGGGCATATTAACAAGGCACGATTTCATGCCGGAACACATACTAGGTTTGCACCCCTTTTTGATAAGGAGTAGGTGGAAAAGATTAAGGTTTCAATTGCCCCGTTCTCTGAAATTATTTTAGGGGATTTCATTCAGTTATTATTCTAGATGGGGGCTTACCCTTGAAAATAAATTTGTAAATGCTCTTGTGCTCTTATAATTAAACTGCACAAAGTTGTAGGATCATTCTAGCCCATAGTTGTTCAACAGCCTCATTCAGCCTGCAGGCTAAGATAAAACCCTTGGGGGGGAGGGGGGAATCACATCGTACTCTTCCAATCTGTGTTTTACATTAACAGTAGAAGTTGCATTGAGGCAAAGTCAGGATCTCTCAGCCTTCACAATTTTTGCTCTGGTGAAATCTCTTGTATGCAAGTTCATGCATTAATAAATTACTAGCGCCCTTCCGAGAATGCTTTCAAAATTACCTTGTTCTTGAAGGGTTGATCAGATATATATAGCAATGGTTTTAGGCATTTAGCTACAAACTGAAGCGCTTGCTTTTATAATCTATGGAGCTATTAATAAAGTACTGAATTGTTTTTTGACAATCTCAAATAAAAATAATTGATAAGCAAATGTAACTATTGGTAACAACTTCAGCACGATCTAGCGTATACTTCCCAATTGGAGGGTTTTGGTTTATGGGTCAGTTTCTGAGTTTATCCCAATGTAATAACAAAGCGCAAGGTTTTTCACCCTTCGAATTGGGAATATGCTAATTACATTTTAGAAACTATGGCTACCTTAATTCTTTGATGACAGAAAAGAATGACATGCATAAAGTATTACCAAGGCTTCTAGAATCAACTCAACATAGGAACTCTGGTGTATATCTGTACTTTTGGGGAGCTGTACCAGATTGAGCATCAAGCCACTTAAAATGGAAAGGTAAGCCTCCAAAATCCAAACTAAATTTGATCATTGAACTAAAATGAAATCAAATATAATTGAAAGTGATGTAAATATATATAAAAATGAATCCTGTTCATATTTACTTCCGACACTTTGCCACAATGACTGTCAGACAATTGAAGCAAGAGAACGAGGCAAACGCACATCATAGCTTTTGGTTAAGACCAATTTTGGTTTTTACAGTGAGCTTGAAAAGAGGGGGAAAAACAAAAGAAAAGAAGGTGAACAACGACAACAAGCATTAAAAAAAAAAACCCGATTGAGGTAAGGGGAAAGAAACTACAGTTTAATCTCTTGTGCTACCCTCGCCTTGAACTCTTAAGGTAGTCAGCCCTTATTGCCCATAACTGTTCTCCCACGGATTTCATTTCTGGTCGATCCTTTCTTATTGGTGCTGCACATTGAAATGCCAAAGCAAAAATCTTCACTAGTATCTCCGCATCTACAACTTCCTCCATCATATGATCCACCAATTCCACTATGTGTCCTTCATTATACTTTTGGAATGCCTGTATGACATTAAAACCATAAATTCTGTGTGCAAGTGATGGGATTTAAACAAGGTATTATTTTTGAAGACTGAATAGCTTGTGTTTTGGGTAATTTAATTTTAAAGCCAAGTTCACTGCCTTGCTTCTTTACCCATGTTACACCAACTCTTCAAATTCTTTTTTCTAGTGTACCCTCATTTTAGACAGACATCTTTAAAATAAATAGGGCTACGAGAATATTATCCACTAAATATAAGGAGAAATACCCATGAATTGAAGTACTCGTGTTGGATACAAATCCACATCCAACACTCCAAAATCTAGTAACATAATGCTTAGTAGCATCAAAGTCAGTTAATTGTAACAGTGCTGCTGCGTAATTCAGCAGTTGCACTATCAATTGATTAATGGAAGTTACTTGACAAAATAACATCAAAAGATTAATGAGGCTGTAAGTTTATCCATCCTAGCATCATAGGTTTAAGTCTGGACTTAGTTCTAATAACTCAACTAGACCTCCCTGTGATGAACACTAAAGAATAGTCCTGAGATCCATGGTCCCTATCTCCATGTGGAAGAACTAAGGAAAGTTATGGCAGTCCTAAAAGTTTTTGCTTGCCAGACTCTGCTATAGGTCTACTTCTTTTTCATTAAGATATGAGACTATACCGAAATAAACACAATAGCTATGAAGTCAAAAAACTTAACAAGAGAAAGAAGGGTAAGCTTACCCATCTAATTGTCACACGCTCTTCAACTGGTCTTTTTAACTCCACAGGACGACGCCCGGTCAGAATTTCTATAAGTAAAATCCCGAACGAGTACACATCACTCTTGGTTGTAAGTTGATAGGTTTTCATGTACTCTGGATCAAGGTAACCAACTGTTCCTTTCACTTTGGTTGAAATATGTGTTTCGTCCGAGTCCATTGGGCCAACTCTTGCAAATCCAAAATCGGCCACTTTAGCCCGCATGCTTTCTGTCAGAAGTATGTTGGATGACTTCACGTCTCGGTGAATAATTTGCTTCTCTGATTCATGATAAAAAGAAAATTGGGCACTATTTTATTTATTTTTTTATATGAAAAGGCACACATTGAAATTGATTAGAAATGAGGAGAGTAAAGACATAGATAGCTGAAATTAATCAAGGGGATAGAACAGGTGTGATTTGGCCTGAACTGAAATAAGAAACAGTGACAAAATTTTACTGCCGCTGTGGTTTGGGCCAAAAACAAGCCAACTCAGTGAGTTTTTTTTCTCACCTGCATAGAGATGGAGATAAGTAAGGCCATGAGCAACATCAATGGCAATTTCAAGACGCTGATTGAAATCCAGTATTTTGCCACGCTGACCTGCCAGAAATAAAGGTGAAATATTACTTTTGGACCTTTAACATTATTGTTGACCAAAAACTTTGGCAGTTATTATGGTCAAGAGACCTTACCATCCAAATGATCTCTCAGAGTGCCATTTGGTACATATTCTGTAATAATAAGCCGTTCATTTCCTTTATCAACATAACCAAGTAGCTTCACAAGGTTCCTATGATCGATTTTGGCTAGAAGTTCAACTTCGCTGCTGAACTCAGTTCGCAGATTGTCAAAATGTTCCTAGACAATATTCTTATGTCAACCAAATAGCATGCCCAAAGAATAAGATGGTTTAAACCTTAAATCATTAAACAAGCACCATAAGAAGAGAACTTAAAATTTTAAGCCAGTTCCAAGTCTGTAACCAATAAAGTCAATAAAAAGCCTTTAGCTTAGAGACTTACCATGTCGATATCTGAGAATCTTTTAAATAATAATAAAATAATAATAATAATAATAATGAACAAATGAATAAATAAAAGAAAATTTCAAACATGTTACGAGCTATAACTCAAGTATAACTTCAGGTACATTTGATCCTATGTGCACATTTACACTCTTTGGTGTTCATTAGCCACTGGCCCCAACTGTTATCAACAAAAGCACCAACCCCCCCCCCCTCCGTGTTATGATCAAACCACTCTACAAGTTTACTGCCTAATAAGTGATCAAGGTGGCAGTTCCTTGTATAACCTAAGTGATATTCCTTTAGTGTGAGGTTATAAGATGTATTGAGCATACAGAACCCGAGAATCATGCCTCCAGAACGTAAATGTTTAGGCTCAGTTTGGTTTACGCATTTTCTTTTTGCTATTTGCATTTTGTTTTGTTTCATTCTTTATATTTTGCTTTTTGCTTTCTTTTCTTTTTTTTTTCAAAAAAAAATTGCAAAACGAAATTAGCAAAAGCATTAACCAAACGGAGCCTTACTAAATTTGCTCTTCAACAAAGAATCTAGTTTTAGATCAGGGAATAGAGCCAGTTATACACATTCTGGCAAACTTTTGCACGGTATATATTTCTAAATGATTTGGGAAGCAATGATAGTGTTCTTGTAGGTCACTGTTATCTTCCCTAAAAATTATTAGATGATGAAATCACTGATACTTCTGTAATTCTGTTTTAATCTAATGTACAAAAAAATGCATGTCAAAAGAGAGCCACTCACAGGACTCGGATACTAAATATATTTTCTCCCCTTGTGCTTTTTGTTTGTGGCACTCTTTTCAGGAACACATCAAATAGGAGAATGCCCTGTATTTCTAATACGCAGATAGTTAACTCAGTTAAGGATACAAAAATTCTATCTTGTAAGTTTAATGATTCATAGCAATGATTTACTCATGTTCATTCCTTCTATAACATAAATTATACTAATAAAATAGAAAACAGTTTCAAAATTACTCTACCAGCAGGAAAAATGTTGCAGAAATAGTATCTCCATGGTCATATTTACTTACCTTCTTTGCCCGTTTAATGGCAACCATCTGGCCAGAATCTAGCTGGGCCTTGTAGACAGTTCCAAACCCTCCTTCACCTATCTGCAGTGCTGGAGAGAAATTAGAGGTAGCTTTGACCACCTGAGCCATATTGAGATGCAATGACCCAATTCTACTAAGTTTTGGAGACATCGAGAATCTTGAAGGACTAGGTGGTACCCTTGGTGGGATGGCTGGAATCTTTTCCAGAGGAGAATGAATATTCATTTCCAAAGAGGAAGCTGAATCCACTGCAAGAACAGAACCGTCCATTTATAACTAGAAGCCAAAACAAAATGATCAAATTATACTGCATTAATAAAAAAAGCTAAACTGACAAAGATGCTAGAACAAAGAGGAAATACGCAATTGTTATGTTGTTTATAAATTGTAAAAAGAGTAAACTTGAGAACCAAATTATTATTATTGACTACTCATCCGAAACTTGCATCCAATTGTTGAATCTTATCTACAGAGCACCCTTGTTCAGAACTTCTCTAATTTTGATAAATGCCAAAATTGACCAGTTACAACTTAGGTAAGTTAAGACTCACTTGAGTTTGGATCCCTTGTAAGAACAGTGTGGTCGGTTGCCCTCTTTTTCCTACAAAGACAGGGGCAGGTACAAACGCAACATATCAAAAAAATTCCAGCTGCTACCATCTCTATTTTGGTCGAGGCCGAATATTTTTTTTTATTCTTCCCATTATGATCAGGCACATCATCTCCTTTCTTAGGCCCCTGCAATAATTTTCTTCCTCCTCCTACATACAAATCAGCTGTCAAAACCATAACACATTGATAAAGATTCCAAGAACTTTACTTCTATTATGCATTAAACTTCATAACTAAAAAATTAGATAAAATCTTTGAAATTAGAAACCTGAAAAAGCATGTTACCTAATGAAAGGTCCAAACCACAGTAATCAGTTCCACCATAGCCTTCAAAGACACACTGATCTGCATGGTGCAACTGCAGGGCCTTACAGAAGAAAACTTCATCTACTAGATTGCCGTTCAAATAAAACAATTCTTGACCATACAAATTTGAATAGGCTATATGATCTGTGCCACAAATCTTCGATTTTATTTCAATCCCAGAGGCAAAGAATCTTGATAATTGCATAAACAGCAGTAGACTAAACTTAGAGGCAATCATTCTCGATCAATTAACGCACTCAACTTCCATAAAAACTAAATTACAAATGAAGCATCACTTATTCTGCTAGTTGCTTCCAAATACTGAAGAAAGAGAGAAACATGCAAAATCAACTCTGGAAACCTTAATTACTTCAATCAATGTTGTTCATTCTCAATACAGCAAACCAATGATGCAAAGTGACCAAGATAAACCCCAATAAACTTGAATCAAAGGAGTGTGGTCTCAACAGACAAATCTATCATTCAGCAATCACGGAAAAAAAAAAACTGAGTTTGTCTTTTATCTTCAACTTAGCAAATTAACATATGAGGCGCATATCCAGGCAACAAAAGGAGACGACTTCAATAGACTTTTTAATTGCTGAATTCTCTTTCTTCAAGGCCACTGCAAAATTTGACCCAAGTCTTCACGGTTGAGTTGACTGAATCAACATGATTCCTGAAACCCAGATTAATACTAGGCCATACCACATTATTTAAAGCCTCCAAAAATGTGTTTTAAACAATTAATTCCAGCATCTAGCAACCCCTGTAAAATTCAATCAAAGCTTTAAACTTTGTGAACAAGAACAGTACAGCTGACAAAGTATAAATATATATATATATATATATATATATATATATGAAAAAAGACACAGTGGAACAGTACGAGGAGAGAAATTAAAAACCTTTAGAACCCCGGAATAGCACGAGTCATAGAATGAATTGCAACGACCAAGTTCACCAAATCATGAAATGAAAAAAACCAGAGAGCCAAAACATGTAAAAACCTCAAAAGAATAGGAAACAAAGAACTTGATAGAAAACACCAAACCAGAAAAGTGACAGAGGGCGGCTTATAAAGGGTGAAGAGAAATCTAAGGTCGTTGTTGCTGTTGGAGTTATAGTTTTAGCGTGTGAAATATCAGGGAAAGACTTGACCAACCTTTTTATTCGAAAGAAGAAAGACGAAAGGCTATGGCGTGGGGCTTCGACATAACGCATGGCTGTCTCCTCCCTGTCATGTACTTTAGAAAATGGAAATACATTTTTTTTTTCTATCAAAACTTAACACCCACATAAAAACTTTAACATTTTTTATTTAGGAATAATTTTAACTGTTATGAGCATCCAATTGCCCTGATAGCTAGTGTCACGGATTTATATTTTTAGCCTAAAAGATACATTAATGAGGTGAAGGAAGATTTTTATTTATAAGTTCAAGATTTATCTCATCCTTTTTTTACGTGGTATCTGTGACATTATCATCCGTCTAACTGTCCTTTTGCATTGATTTTTTTACAAAAGATTAACTTTGATTCGACTCTATTTCGATTTTAATATATTTTACAAAATTTTATATTTACAAAATTGAATTGATTCTAATATTACTTTTTACAAATATGGACTTCAACTCAAATGACTAACTTTTTGAGGTGACTTTTTTATTTTCGATATGGGATCTGTGATATTTTTTCACCGGTTGTCTTTGTTGTGTTAACTTTTTCACTCGTAAAGATGAGAGACTCGCTTTGGTATGGATCTATCTTAATTTTAATATCTCTCAATAAATTTACATTAAATAAGAGTTGATTTGATTTTAATTATAATTATCATAATTGAATCAATTTGATTAGATGATTCGATAAATCAATGTTGAAACTGATTTAATTATGTAATTAGATTAATTTTATAATTAAATTATTTTAAATCGTTATGAATCTATAATTTACTTAATAAATTAGTAAATTAGATAATTTTTTTAAACTATGTTAGTTTAATACCAATTAATAAATTTAAATAAAATATAAAAATATCTTTCAAGTATTTAAAATAATATAATTAAACTTTTATATTACTATTTCATCTAAATAAACACGCAACTTTTATATTTTATTATCAAAATTTTTGTAACTTTATATTAATGATATGTGGTTATATTTTGAGACATGTAGATAATGACATTGCAAAAAAAAAACTTACATATGTGTAAAAAATAAAGAAGTTAAAAAATGATCTAATACAAATTTTATTAATTGATATCATAATTAAAAATAATTATAAATTAATAATATATAAAATTAATAAAAAATAAAATATTAATAAAAATGATTAATTATTTGATCATAATTGAAAATAATTAATAGAAGAAAATATATATGTAAAATTAATAAAAAAAACTACATTCATATAAAAAATATAAAAATGATTTTAATTTTTTTTACTAATTTGCATATAAATATAAATATTTCATTTTTATTAATTTTATATATAGATATTTATTTTTTATTACATAAATATTAATTATTATATATTAATAAATAATATTTATATTTTAATAAATAATAATAATAATTTATTAGTTATTATTTATTATATTTATTAAAATATATATTATTTATAATTATTAAATTATAAAATATGATTTTAATAAAATGTTAAGTAATTTCATTTTTAACTAGTAATTAATTGTTTTATGAATTTTATATTTTAAAATTTAGTTTATGATATACTTTAAAATTTATAATTTTATGATTGAATTATTAAACTATAATTTGAGTTAAATGTTTGAATTTAAAAATTTTAAAATAGTTATATTTTTTATAATATTTTTTTATTGAATTGACAATTGATCCGGTGATTGAACTATTAATTCAATAACCCAAAACCTTGAATAATTTAATATTCGATCCGATTTTAATAACTATGATTTGCCCCGAACATGAATCTTAACAAAAAAATTAGCTTATTAGGTGAGGTGATTAGGGATGGCAGCTTAACTTATATCCAACAAATTTTAATCCGATTCAACCTTTTAGTATTGATTTTTTTTTTTTGAAAATCGATTTGGGTTGTGTAGAGTAATTATAGAATAAAGTCAAAGTTGAATCAGGATTAGATTTTAAGCAAATCCGTCCTGATCCGATCCAGTATATATATATAATTATTTGTAATTATTTAATTTTATATTTATATTAAAATAATAATTTATATTTAAAAATAATATTTTATTAATTTCAAATCAAATTAAATATAATTTTAGATAATATAAAATAAAATTTAAATTAAAAAATAAAAAATTATCAAATTAAATTTAAATATTATAAATATATAATTAAATTAAATTCGAAAAAGATGAAAATTAATACCAATCCAAGTGATCATCTCTTTATTTGTGCCCGATGTCACTCTCATCTTTGATGGGATCCACATTATTTTATGGATCTGACGACATAAGCTCCCGAAACTCACACATTTAAAAAAAAAAATTAATTTATTTATCCAAAATCATTCTCATCTTTTTTTAATGTAAGATTCGTGACACTTATACTCAAAATCATTTAGACCATTTATTGGGCATTTTCGCGATTAACAGCTTCATTTGAGATTAGGATTCCATTTAAGTTGTATTTTTATATTTTATGTTTTTTACTCATAATTTATACTTTATTTTATTTTATTTGAAGATATTTGAATTCTATCTTAGGTTTTTTTCATATAAATATAGAATTCATTTAACATTGCTATTGGGATTACGAGATTACAATAACAAGGAAGATAAAATTTATAATTAAAACTTTTAATCACGTATACATTTATGATGATTTACATTATAATCGTTAGTAATATAAGCAAGGGGATCACCTTATAACATAATCTTTTGCGGTTTTGCGCCATGTGTAAGAACGAGGATAAAGCTAGCAAACTATAAAATTCGAGGTGGGAACACATGATAATTGTCTCTTCAATGAAAAAAAGGTTCATGGAACGCAAGCCTAAAAACGAGACTGTAGCAAAGATGCTAACTATTAAACGTTCTCTGTTTTTTTTTTTTTTTTTTTTTCTGCTTTGTTGATTAGATAATGGTGTGGGCCAAGGTGTTATAAAAAAAAAGCACATAAAAAGTTGGAAACCACCATGAACTATGGTTTTTATGGGTTGAGGTAAAGAGATGATTGATTGCTTAGGTAACCCATGTTCCCGTTTACATTTTTGTATTATTTTTATTTTATATTAAATAAATAAATAATATAAAATTTTTGTATTATAAGCATAAAATATTTTTTTATTTTATTATATTTATACAAAAATTTTAAATTATAATAATATTATTTTTTATATTATTTTTATATCATATAATCGATATTTAAATTATCAAACCTAATTTATATCCATCCTCCGTTTTAAGGGCCCTTTACTTTTCTGCCGTTAGTGTTTTATTAGGAGGAAACTAGATAGAGACTCATCATCCACCAATGATAATTATTTTTAAAAAGAATAATGCATATTTGATAGATTGCGGTCTCTGTTAAATAAATTGGGTATCTATGTAATGATGTAACGTTTATTTCATTTTCCTTCTTTTCACCCTATTTTAAAATTAGTGGACTGAACATTTATGTGACTGTTCTAATTTTTTTTTTCATTAAAAATAAAGTAAATAAAGAAAGAGACTTGACCGACCATTCAATACGTAAATTAAACCAGGCCCATTTTCAGATCAAGCAGGGGTTTACTTTCCCATTTTACATGGGTTCAGTTTATTATCTGTTCAAAATAAAATTTTTTTATTCACAAACACGATGAAAGCTTATTGAATCTTTGATTTGTGTAAAAACAGATAATTCAAGTGTGCTCTTTGTGTTGCAATAGTTAATAATAAAAGCTTTTAAACTGAAACATTGAATTTAACAGTTTGAATTTTTTTTTGAAATATTTTAATTCTTAATTCTTAATTTGCATAATTAGAAAATAAAGGATTACAAAAAATTTATTATTAATTATGTGATATGTTAATTAAGTATTTGACTTTTATTAGATACCCAAAAAAAAAAAAAAAACAAGAGAAAATTTTTGGCTGTGAAGCATTTAGGGTCGTGGTGAAAGCGAAGACCATAGCCATGCAACCATCAGCCGAGGAAAAATCACAGAAGCTTCAAATATCAATTCACCATCACTTTCCCCCCCATGGCCATGTACAAACTTGTGTTCACATTTGAGAAAATCTGCATAGATATCAATCACATTAATTTCAAAACAAAGGATTCCTTCTGAGTCTCTGATACGGCAGAGAACAAGTAAAGCCCTCGGAACCATTCTTGGGATTACGACTTTACGAGCATTAGCCCATTTTCAAGACACTTAAATTGATGGGTTCTTTCTTTTATGATTCACATGCATTTTTATCCTTGTCCAAGTAATTTTGATTATGCGGATTTAGTTTCTTGAAAGTTACTACCAAACTTCGATTGAAAAAAAAAAAACAAAAAAAACACTTGGTAGAGTGGGCGGGGTGTGTGAGAGTATAAAATAATGAGAGGAGAAAGAGGGAATTTTTTTTAGGGCATATATATATAATTAAGAAATTCATTACATTTTTTTAGTTACACAACAAAACATAGAGAAAAGTAGAAAATTTGAAAAGTGGAACGCAAATATTAATTAATTATTTACCATCTTATTATTTACTTTGATTGATTTCACTTATAATTTCATTATACATTACTATCAATCTACTTTGAATTCTTCACAGAATGCATTGAAATTTGTTGTTTGAAATCAAATACAAGAACAGAAATAAAAATATCTGCATCAAGCATCAACTATATGTTTTGGGAAAATATTTTACTTCAGTTTTATAATAACTCGATCATAATTAAAAATTATATAAATATACCAATTATAATTGTATATTTTTATATGTGATTTTGGATTATATATAGAATAAGAGTTTTTCTTTTTAATTTCATAAATCTTACTCTAATTAAAATCCGGAGGCTTCAAGTTTCCAACATTAGCTTCAGGTCTCCATTAAAAATATAATTTTTATTACAATTAAGGTTCAAACTCGAAACTCTTGATTTTAAAAACAATCAGTATCATTGAACTAATTATTTAGAATAATATTAATATTTGATTGAAATTATTAGTTTAAAAAAG